AACACTCCACACAGACCATTGTAAGAAGGGAAGGGCAAGTCAATCCACTGTTTGTGTGCCACTCCAGGACCCGCTGTAGTACTGTCGCATGATGGTATTTGCGCAGATCAGGGAGCACCATGCCCGTGGCAAGCATAGGATTTCCTTTTGGAGTCTCGCCTGTCTCCCACTCAAGATTAATTTTACCATTGCGGATCTCAGCGATGTAAAGTATGCTGTCAGCAGGGCTTGTGGAATTGTCTGGTATAGATATAGGATCCGTGGTAGCACATTCAGTTTCAGGATCGCAATCCGGCCAACCCATGATATGTATGGATATGCCCATGACTTCAGATCACATATTCTTTTTAGCAATGTTAAGAAGTTCGCTCAGTATATGTCTCCCAAATCTTTGGTCAGTGATATTCCCAGGTATTTCATGTGGGTCGCGCACCATCGGAATGGGAATTGGTGTTTTAATGCGCCTGCCTTTGCCGTCGGGACTGTGATGTTGAGTACTTCAGATTTGGACATGTTAAGTTTGAATCCCGAGATCTCTCCATATGCCTCGAACATTGCGACCAATCGAGGGAGTGTTGTCTCCGGGAGTTTAATTAAAAAAATAAAAGGTCGTCTGCGTAAGCTGCTACTTTGTGTGTGGTATCCGCGCTGTTGAAGCCTAGAATCACATCTGATCTGCGTATTGCCTCTAGGAATGGCTCAAGGGCGAGGGCGAAAAGCATGGGGGAGAGTGGGCACCCCTGCCTTGTTCCATTGTGGATCGAAAAGGACTCAGTGAGCGCTCTGTTCACTCTCACCTTGGCACTGGGACATTGGTACAGCGCCCCGATCCACCTCAGCATGTTCTCCCCAAAGCCCATTTCTTTGAGTGTAGTCATGAGCAACGTCCAGTCCACCCAGTCAAATGCTTTCTCAGCGTCTGTTGATAGTAAGATGAGTTCATCCTTCGACCATTTCGCCAGGTGGTGGATGGATTGGACTCTGCGAGTGCTGTCCCTTGCCTCTTGCCCGGGAATGAACCCCGTTTGGTCTGGGTGAATTAGTTTTGGGAGTAGTCCCCTATTCTATTGGATAATATCTTGGGGAGTAGCTTCACATCTAAGTTCAACAAGGAGATCGGTCTATAGTTGCTACAGAGTTCAGGGTCTTTCCCCGGTTTAGGGAGGACTGTTATAGTGGCCGCAAGTGACTCGTGGTGAAACTGGGCTCCCGTGACAAGTGCGTTGAATGTGTTGGTGAGGTTCGGGAGCAGGATATGTTGGAATTTCCTGCAATAATCAAGGGTGAAGCCGTCTGGGCCTGGTGCGTGGCCCGTTTAGGCAGCTTTGATTGCTCCCACCACTTCTACCACAGAGATCGGTGTGTCTAAGGCCTCCGACTCCACCTGTTGTATTCATGTTGCCACGTAGGTTTCAATGTATCTCTGTATCTTATCGTGTGTCAGCTCTCTCCTCCGGGAGTGTCGGCTGTGGAATGCTGTATAGGGAGGAGTAGAAGGAGTGGATCTCCAGTGCAATTCTGTCCGGGAATTGTGTGACCATGCCATCTGTGGTTCGTAGCTTATGAACCTGGGTCATCCCCTGAGGGCCTCTGAGCATCCTGGCCAATAGCTTCCCTCCTTTATTGACATGTTGGTAGAAGAAAGCCTTCGGGTGCTGCAGGGAGTTGTAGTACGGAGCTGTGATGTGCATGAGTAGCGATCTTCGGGCTTCCAATAGTTCCTTATATGTCTCTTCAAGTTGAGAAAGTTTGTGTTGTGTCTCGAGGGCATTTATGCATACCATGAGCTCCCTCATTTGTCGCTGAGATTCATTTTTCTTTTTGGAGGCCAAGTGCATCAGCGTGCCCCTGAGAACACTTTTGTGTGCTTCCCATATTGTTGTCACGGTCTGGTCGTCTGTAGTTTCAATGCAGGTGAGGTCCTCCGAAACCCGCTCCCTCACTGATAAGTCCAGTAGTAGAGAGTCCTGAAGCCGCCACGTCCAGCTGGTTGGGCGTACCCTTGGGGAATCCATCCTCAGCGTCACTGGTCCGTGGTCCGACCAGGCTGCTGATTCAATTTCCACTTTTTGGATCGAGGTCAGTTGATTCTGTTGGATGAAGATGTAGTCGATTCTGGAGTATTGCTTATGGATCGCAGAGTAGTGGGCATATTCCTTGTCTGCAGGGTGCATTTCTGGCCAGCAGTCTACCAGTCTAAGGGTCTTGATGGCTTTCTGTATGCTTCAGAGAGCACCTTGAGTGATGCTGCTATGGCCCATGGAAGAGTTCACCAGGGGATGGAGGGGCACATTGAGGTCTCCGCCCAGGATCAATGTTCCTTCTGTGAATGATGAGAGTCTGAGGAGGGTTTTGCGTATGTATTGGGATTGGTTGTTATTCGGTACGTAGATGGTCACAAACGTGTACCTTCGGTCCTGTATGTGCCCTTTAAGAAAGAGGTATCTGCCGTTGGGGTCTGACATTCGGTCTGTTGCGTAAAATTGTAGCTTTGCATCTAAGAGGATAGCCATTCCTGCCTTATGGGTTGTCGGATGGTTACTGCAGGCTGCATTGCAGTAATGCTTGCTTTTCAGTAGTGGGGTAATTCCCTCCTTAAAATGCGTTTCCTGTAGGAAAGCTATAGAGATACATCTGGTGTATAGATCCCGTAGTAGTTGTGACCTGCGTTCCGGAATGTTTAGGCCCCTGCAGTTCAGGGACACAACGCGAAGAGGATCTGGTTCATAAACTTTGCGTGTTTGAGTAGGGCAGTCCGCAGCGACCTCCAGCGGTTCTGTTACCTACTCAGCAGGGGCCTGCTGCAGACCTGTCCCCCGCCCCCGCGCTGGCTGTGGCAGAGTGGGGGTGTGTGTTGGAGGTAGGAACGAGGGGACGAGAGAGAGGAGAAAAAAAAGAGGGGGGGTGGGTGGGAAGAAACCCCACCTCGGTGTGGGTGAGGATGTACGAGAGAGAGAGTAGAGTCTTCGTTTCTAGAAGGAGACGGTGGCGACACCTAGATCTAGGTGACGAAAGTCCCTCCTAGCAGGCAGTAGGCAGTCGGGCCAGCCAGACAAAGTCCTGCAGTGTCCAACTGTCGACTCCCCGTGGGTTGGGGATGTCCACACGAGCATGTTTAGAGTTAGTGGTAGTGCCCGAGAGATGTCCCCAGCATAGGGAGATCCCTCTTGAAGTGTGTTCGAGGTTACCCAACAGGTACTCCGCCACCATGTGAGTGTTCAGATGTCGTTTGTCTGGGTCAGTGTGATCAGTGAACCGTGTCCATAATCCTAATGTATCATTAAAATTGGTGCTATACGTTGCGCATCTGGGAAATGTCGTGAGGGGGCAGTGACGGGTCTCACCCATCTCTGTACCATGGCCAGTTATCCGGGAGTGGGAGGACTCCCACCTGAGGGGCGTGATGGAGTGTAGGTTTCCGCAGGTATATGTATAGCTATGCAGGGGTATTTGGTCTATGCGTGTCCGGTCTGGGGGTGGCTAGTTTAGTGTGTCCAAACTGAGTGTTGGTCGGGGTCATTGTGGTTAGTACGGTCGGGGTAATGATAGCCAGGGTCCGTCCTATTTTGTTGTGCGTGGGTCCAGAGGGGCAAGGTCAGGGCACTGCTCCGTAGTATGGCGTTCGTTGTGTGTCATGTGGGGCGCAAGTATGCCCAGGGGGTGATGGCAGGCACTCTCTGGCGTGTCACATAGGTAGTGATATTGTACAAATTACACATTACATACAGAAGAAATGCATGTTATACAATGTGGCCCACCTCTTTCCCCCCTAGGGCATGAAAGCAGTTGAACAGTATAACATAACATCTTACCCCCCCGTACCCCACCTTCTGTCTGTCCCTTGAACCCATCCCCCTTTCTCCACCTGTTTATATTCTACTGTTTAGAGGGAGGGGTGTTGCTACCTCTGATATCACCCATCTCCTCAACCCGACTCATTTACGGTGAAACCAGGAGTAGAGTATACAACATGTTCCCAATTCTTCCCAGTGTACTTTTTTTTGCTGCTCCCCCCACCCTCCCTTCGCATAGACCTGTATGGCTCAATCCCCCCCCACCTCGCCCCCTCCTGCTCCCCTGTAGTGCCCCACTCCCCCCGGCTTTGACCCGTGAAAGAGAGTCCTGTCTTCCATCAAGCTGGGTCATCTCAGGTGTGGGTAGTAGCTGGTATTGGCTGTTCTTAGGTGTCGGTAGGGTATCGTTTAGGCTTCCGGTTCATCATGTCATGCCAGCATTAATCCCCTTGTCCAGGGGATCCCCCCCCCCCCCATTAGGCACACCCATGCCCGCTTCCCTCCCAAACTGGACCAGTTTTTGTGTTTCCTATGTGGGCCATGGTCTCGAGATGAGGCAGCAATGGGTGGGGAGAGCAAGTAATTAACTTAAGTGCCCCAGGTGTGGTGACTATCTGCCCTGTTCCAGGTATTTGTGAGCTTGTTTCAACCCGTCACCCCACCCAAAAAGCGAAAGGTGTGGTGCATGTGCTCACCCTTATCAGCCGGCCAGATGGTAGCCTGAGGTCGGAGGGTCAAAGTGATGCTTGTATATTGTCGTGTGTTTCAGTTCCTTCTTGTGTATCTGGTACCTGGCTTTCAAACAGGGTGGTGTCCCATGGTATTCATCTATTCTTCTGGGTTGGACGGGTGTGGTGGCACGGTGTGTGGTCGGTTCACTCTAGGGCCCACCCACGAGTTCCATGGCGGCCTCTGGGGTCTGGGTTCTTGATCCAGTGGCTCCAGGATCCAATCTGGTACTGCTATGGGCGGTAAATCCAACCTTTGCAGGAAACGTGGAATTTCTTCCAGCCAGCGTGCCGCTACCCACTCATTGTGGTGTCTTACTTGGATGATGCTGAACGGGAAGCCCCATTTATAGGGGATATTATGTTCCCTTAGTGCTGTAGTGATGGGTTTGCCTCTAGTGTGGCAGGTGAGAGGTCATTAAACAAGGAGACCTCAGTGTCCTGATACCGCAATGTGGCTCGAGACCTGGCCAGTCTCATTAGGCGTTCCTTGAGGGGGAATGAGTGTAGGCAGCAAATAATGATGCTCTCACCCTGTGTCTCCATGTCAGAATGCAGTGCAGTGACTGCAGATGTGAGGGATGCCGTGAAGGTGTTCGTCAGGGATTGCAGGTCTGATTTTATGACCATGGTGGCTGCTAGTCTCCTGATCTCTGCCCCAATATCGGCCAGCGTGGGCTGTTCCTGTTCTGAGCTGGAGGAGGCCGGGGATGCGGGCGCCATCTTCGATCAATGCGCCTCGTGGTTAGACCCAAGTGGGGTATGGAGGAAGCCGTCCATCGGGCCCGATGACTGTGCCGGCAGTGCAGCCCTGGGGGTCTGTTGGTGCTCCGGTCATTTGGTGCGTCCCATTTGGGTAAGCTTATCTGCGGCAAACGGCTTTTAGGAGCGCGGTGGTGAGGAGCTCTGGGTCTAAACGTCCATGCTGCTCCGACTTCAGGCCACACCCCCTGGAATCTCTCAAATTAACATCATGTACATTTTCCATATATTGCTACTCATGTGTCCTCCTGGACTCTGTTTCATTGTCTATCTTCTTGTTCCCTAAGGACTAGTGATGTCGCGAACCCGAAATTTTCGGTTCGCGAACGCAAAAACTTCTGCAAATGTTCGCGAACCGGCCGAACCGCCATAGACCTCAATGGGCAGGCGAATTTTAAAACACACAGGGACTCTTTCTGGCCACAATAGTGATGGAAAAGTTGTTTTAAGGGGACTAACACCTGGACTGTGGCATGCCGGAGGGGGATCCATGGCAAAACTCCCATAGAAAATTACACAGTTGATGCAGAGTCTGGTCTTAATGCATAAAGGGCAGAAATCACCTAACATTCCTAAATCACAATGGATATGGATTGACACCTGACATATGGATTGACACCTGTCCTCAGAGACCATGATACACACTGACACAGAGCAGAATAGAGACTGTTCCTCCTACATCGGGTCACTTGGCAGATATGGATTGACACCTGTCCTCAGAGCCCCTGATACACACTGACACAGAGCAGAATAGGGAATATTCACTAAATGCCTATTACGGTACCTCCAGTAGTGCACAAACAACCAATCACATATCAGTTACATCCCACATATTCCCTCCCCTTATCCTGAGAGGAAACTCAATTACACATACAGTTAAAACGTACTTTCTACCCAACTTTCATAACTCTAAAACCATACATCACATTCACATAAAATTACATATTCACAATCAATCCATTCAGGGGAACAACATATTAAAAAATGGCATGAATCAGACCAGGGGTTCAAAAGCCCTCTATCAGGAGACAATGGGGAAAGTAATCCAATTATCCAGGGATAGAGGCAGACTCCATTAAGTACATGGTTGCAAAAAGACAAAAAACACTTTAAAATAAATAAAGTCACCTTTTAAACATAACACACAGACATTTCACATAGCCTCAGATAGCTGGGATCTGAGCGCACAAAACTACCGAATAGCGCTCAGATCCTATTCACACAGTTCAATTGCCATGGAGCCGAAGTCTTTAACTACACGAATGGGCTCCATGGCATAGCTATCTGGGTTAACACATTTACATAAAGTCTGGTCCATAGTCCAAAGGCAGCAGGCGGGCAGCCAGGCTCCTCCAATGCAATGTGGTGAGATTGTTATACAGGGGAATATTCAGTAAATAAGGATAAGGGGGGGACCTAATGTCCTCCCCCCCGGCCCCAACCCCTGCATGGTGGGTGGGGGCCATAAATCTCAATGGGGTGGGGACCTACTGTCCTCCCGCCCACCCCCACCCGTGAGCGGTGGGTGTGGGCCATAAAAATAATGAGGGTGGGGACCTACTGTATGATGTTGTATCGATCAGGTAGTGTAAGGGTTACGCCCGCTTCACAGTGACAGACCAAACTCCCCATTTAACGCACCGCAAACAACCGCAAACAGTCCATTTGCACAACCGCAAACTCCCCATTTGCACAAGGTTGGATACCAAGCTAGCCATGTCCCGTTCCTTGTCCTCACTGATGTCATTGAAGGTCTCTTCCTCCACCCAGCCACATACAACACCCAGGGTCCCCAAAAGGTGACAACAAGCCCCCTGGGACGCCTGCTGTGTTTGGTCTTCCACCTCCTCAAAGCCACCTTCCTCCTCTGACTCCTCTCTCTGCGTTGCC